GGCGGGAGCTCCAACAAGCCGTGTAGGACAGAGAGTGACATACTATACAGAGATGCTGTATGAGAAACCAATGTGAGTTTGGAACATTGAACAATGTAAATCTATTCTAGTCGAAATGGCCATGACATGGGACCTTTTAAGAAACCCGAGACCACCCTGCGCAATATAACTTTGATCCTGGGATTTCTTAAAATGTCTCTGAATCCAATTAAACATCCCTTCACATTAATTTGGATGCTAAGAAAGGTTTTCCTGATGTACTATGGCAGATGTCATCAGAAAAAAATAGATTTGCTGTTTGCTGTGCATTTTGTATTATTTATACCAATATAACATCTCAGGAAAAGGACATTCCTTCAACGGAGTTCCACCATGAAAACTTGGTCTCGACTGTGCTGAATCTCTTCCTGGCAGGAACAGAAACAACCAGCTCAACCATTAGATATGCCCTCAGTTTGTTCATAAAATACCCAGACATACAGGGTGAGTCCCCCAACAGGAAACACAGCCCTTTTTGACCAGTTCTACAAACATCTATAATCCTGTATTTACCTTTTAATGTTTTGCTTGCTCCCGTACAGAGAAAATGCAGCATGAGATTGACACTGTGATTGGACAAAGTTGTCCTAGCATGGAGAACAGGAAGTCCCTCCCCTTTACTGATGCAGTCATCCATGAGGTGCAGCGCTTTCTGGACATTGTCCCATTCAGCCTCCCTCACTACGCGCTCCATGACATCTCTTTCAGGGGTTACACAATCCCCAAGGTATTGTCCATCCCAAGATATCATATCCAAAGACAGAGACAAATCCTTATTACACTAACATATCTCTCACATGTCTTAATAGGACACTGTGATTATTCCTTTGCTTCACTCTGTGCTGAAAGAGGAAAAGCATTGGGAGACTCCCTGGACCTTCAACCCTAAGCACTTCCTGGACCAGAATGACAACTTTAAGAAAAATCCTTCTTTCATGCCTTTTTCTGCAGGTAAAATGCGGCATTCCACCAGTTGATACATCAACCATAGCATGCTGAGGAATATTAATAATAATAGTTTTCTGTGTGAGTGTGGTGTGTCCACAATGGGCCATTTTTTGCTGAAACCTGACTCGTTGCCCAGTAACAATCGCAATTGTATTTTTATTTTGAAGTTTGTGGTTTTATCTCTCCACAGGGAAGAGAGCCTGTGTTGGCGAGGCTCTGGCTCGTATGGAGCTTTTTATCTTCCTAGTATCACTGCTGCAGAATTTCACTTTTTCCTGCACTGGAGGCCCCGACACGATCGACCTCAATCCAGAGTTCAGCAGCTTCGCCAACCTGCCTCGCTCCTCCGAGATCATCGCCACGCCGCGTTGAGAACAGGAAGTCCATTTAGACTGAGCCTAGCATTCTGAGTCGAGGACAACTCGATAACATATATTGTTTTTTTGTGATTTTGCACTGTTTGCTGTAAAGATGATGTTTGCTGTTACCTGGTGGACACATACTGTAAAGATTCTGTAAATGATTATGCATCCTCTTGTCTTCTGCTTTGGTTGTCTTTCAACAATTAAACAAAACAAAAAAAAGTATTTCTGAAATATGGATTTGTATACATACACATGGCAATAGATTACTTCTGTATACCTGTTGGAAAGTCTTTGTTGTGTTTGTGTATTTACTGAATTTAGTCCAAGTAAAATTTCATTGGAAGAAAATCTATCAAACAAGAAAAAAAAACCCAACAACACATCAAATATATCATCTCTTTTTTAAAGATTATAAAAATCTCTGCCTTCCATTGGCATTTCAATCAAAGTCAGATCACTGAACCTTGAAAGAGATAAGGTACATTTGAGTCCTTTTCCTTTGACCTTTAAAACGTCTTTCCAGAGGTGGAAACTTTACTTGAGTATTTCCATTTAATTGTTCTTTAAACTTCTACTCCAGTACATTTATTAGTCATCTTTAGCTGCTTTTAACAAAATGCATCCCTTCAAAATAAACTAGCGGACTAACTCTTTAGGCCACATAAGAGTCCAATTATTTAAATATTTTACAGAAAGTCAAACAGAACTTTGTTTGTCTACAACAGTAAAATGCTTTTTAAATATATATGTCTATTCTCCTCACTTTACCTGCACTATCTGATGTTGTTAAATGTAATTTTCCCTGTTGCGGACAAATAAAGGATTTGTGATTCTTATTAATTATGCTGATACTACTTTTGTACTTTTTCTTAAGTAAGATTTTGAATGCAGGACTTTCACTTGTAATTAAGTATTTTGACAATAATGTATTGGTACTTTTACTTAAAGGTGGGGTATGTCATTTTGGAGAAACCAGCTCGAGTGCGCTAGAATTTGAAAGTACACGAGATGTCCTATACATCCATGCCTTCAACATGGCGCGCTGAAATCCATTTCCGGGTCACTACTGGAGGACCGAGGAGTCGAGGAGGGGAAATTAGGGAAATGAGAAAGGGCCTCGGCTCACAGGGAGGGGGGGCAGGAGCTCCAACAAGCCGTTTAGGACAGAGAGTGAATACACATACTATACAGAGATGCTGTATGAGAAACCAATGTGAGTTTGGAACATTGAACAATGTAAATCTATTCTAGTAGACCTCAACAATCGAATTATGATCAGTAGAAATGGCCATGACATGGGACCTTTAAAGCACTTTGGAATACATGTTTAGTTTAAGTACAGTAGCAGCTGCTGTTGGTAAAAGATTTCTGTCTATTTTTCTAAATAAGAGCCCTAAAACCAACCAATGGACTTTATACTAGGGTTGGGTATCGTTTGGATTTCAAGGATTCCGGTTCTGTTTCCGGTTCTTTTCGGTTCTCGATTCCGGTTCTTTGAGAGGGTAAAAATAAGTCCCATGCCAATTTCACTGGGAGAAAAATATATTTATGAAAACATTAAGTGAAATCTGTATNACATCTTAAAACGTACACAAGTATTGGCATCAAAATGTATTTAAAGTACTTAAGCGTAATAGCTCATTTCACAAACATATCTTAAAGGGCCCATGTCATGCTTTTCCGGTTATTACCCGTCACCTTGTGTGTTATGAAGGTTTTTATGTATGTAAACGGTCTGCAGAGTCAAAACCCCTCAAAGTACACCCTGTAGCGAGTAAAACTCTAACACAGAAAAGACCAGTCTGTGCTGCCCCAGAACGCCTCGTTGGACATTTCTCTTTTTCTTCCTGGGTATAGTGACGTATTTGGGTATAGTGACGTAACCGCGGAGCCGTTACGTTTGGACCAATCTGCGGACTTCCTCACACACACACTCGGCGGGACGTTGCGAGGCTCGCTGCTGTGAGGAGCGGGACATTGTGAGCTGGCTCACTGGTGTGGGGTCTGCGAGACAGGGAGACACAGCGGAACTCAGCCTGAGCACACACACAAACTCCCAGCCAGGCTGCGGGTGTGTGTGTGTTTCAGGCTGGGTTTCGCTGTGTCTCGCAGATGGCCACTGGGCTCACAGGGAGGGGGGGGG